CCACCAATATTTTACTATACCTTCTTGTTTATTCTGTGATTCCTAGTGGCAATGAGCCTTTTTTCCCTGAAATGTGGTCATTGGGACAAATAAATTTAAGAACCACTACTTTAAAGCACCAAAGAAAGAAAACCCAAAGTAAATCACAAGATTTTGATCGGTGGTCTTAATTTATGCTCCATAGTCTAAAATGCAAGAAGTTGATATGATATCAGAAGTCATATTAATAATATTAACAATTTCAATTCACTGGACAAAATTTTTTTAAATGCATTTTTATTCTTTTAAAATTAATTTGTCATTTTAGTAGGAAATTTCAGGCGTGTACCTTTAATATTTTAGTAATATTCTACATTAAAAGAAGTCAACAAAACTGAAATTTGATAAAATATTAATTCAAAACTAATTTATATTAATCTATTTACATTCTATAAAATTTCTATTCTTCCCAAAAAGAAATTTAAATACACAATTACTTAATTCTACTGAGAATATTCAATTTAAACTTTCGGTAGAAGTTTTAATGCAGAAATTGTAACACTTTTACTAAACGCTGAAAAAAAAGCGTGTAATTGCTTCTTTTTTTAATGTTTTTCAACTTGTAACGATATAAAGAATGAAAAAGGAGTTTCATACATGGTTAATAAAGTACAGTTTAGGTGATATTTTATGTAAACCATTTACAGGTTTAATTTTTATTATTGTAAATATTTAAATTTTGAAGTTAAGGAATTTCTGTTTGTCTACGACAGCCGAAAAAAAAAACTATTTTTCTCCGAAAATGAAATGCTATTTTCATGTAATAAAAAAAAATATATAATTGATATATCTTACATAATCTAAACTATTTTCACATTCAAGAATGTGACATCATTTTTTTTATATTAGGCATTCAATTCTTGGAAATTCATTTGCTATCTTTGAGTGTCCTTTATAGATTTACATTGTTTTAATGGAGGTTGAAGTTAACTGTAAAAATAATTGAATATTAAAATTCATTGTAAATTAGTTTTTTTTTTATCTTCTTGAATTTTTTAGTATTAATCTTTTTATTGGTGAAATAGGAATTTAATGAGTGAATAGTAGAAAAATAACTTTTTCATAAAGTAATTCTTTTATTAATACTATTTTAATGTTAACTCTTCTATTTTGTGTTTAAAAAGTCAGCGTAATTTAAGAATTTTTTCACAGTAAAATGAATTGTTTTATTAATAGGAAATAGGAAAATGTGTTAACAATCAAATTGAAAAATCCATTAACAATTACGTTTGTGTGTTTACGTTTGTAAATTTATGGCAGAAATTGTATGCTTAATATTATTTTACATGCTTATTAATCATTTGTTTTTTTACTATACAGTAAAAAGAAAAAAATATGATTTATTAATTGTTATTTAAAGAATCGGCATTCTTCAATGATTTGATTAGTTAAACAAATAAATTCTCCATAATATTTAAATAATCATATCTGTTTTTATCTCTTTATTATTAAATTAAACTAAAAAACTCATTTATAAAGAAACTTTTTAATTCTTCATCAGAAGTATACTTGGAAATATCATCATTAATATTGTGTAGTTAATAGCATTTTACATGCTTATTAATCATTTGTTATTTTACTGTACAGTAAAACGAAACAAATATGATGCAAAGTTTATTATTTAAAGAATAAGGATTTTTTGATTTGTTAAAAAATAATTCTTCATCATATTTAAATTATCATATCTGTTTAAAAAATATCATTTATAAAGAACCTTTTTTTAATTCTTCATTAGAAGTATACATGGAAATAATTGTTAAATAACAAACAAAAAAAAATCTTTGCTTTTTTTTTATACTTCATGAAGTGATTTGTATGCTCTGATTATATTTCTTAATTTAAAGGAAATATTATAATGCTCAGTAGCTTTCATTTAAAAAATACTATACTGAGTTGGAAAATAAATGTCACAAATAATGTATTGAAATTAAAAAAAAAGACTGAATTCATGCCATTAGTACCTTTTTAAAAAGATCGTAAATAGCACTACACACTGGAGGATTTCAAGTGCATATATCTTTATATCAAAGTCATACCCCAATTAATGGATGTGGCAGAATGTTTTTTTTAGATTTTATTGTACTTTATACCTTCCCAATGCAATCACTGCAACATCTCTCTCCATGCTGCAATTCCCAAACACATAAACATTATTTATAAAAGGTGTAAGGTGTATCCAAACGCGTCTGGAAACAAGAGAGTTAATTGAAAAGAATCTCTCACCGATGGAGGACTTCCGTAACTTCATTTGTTCTAAATGAAACAGAAAAAAAAAGAAGTTCCTAAAACTTGAAACGTGTGAAGAAGGTCACTTCGCCATTACAAAGAATCGAAACGGTGTTGTGTCTTCTAAAATAAATGAATCAATTTTAGGTGAAGAAATCGATTCCGTGACTTCCAGGTCAAGGAGCTGAAGAATGGTTGGGAACTATGGCGAAGAACAAATATGTCCCGGTTTCCTTTTTGGTATCATTTCAAAGACAAGATTTCAAATTCCGCGCGAAGTAACAACTTCTACTTAAAACTTCTACATGGGTCCTGAGTCTATTAATTCCTATTAAAAACTATCTGAGAAAACAAATTAATAAAATATGACTAAGGACTCTGGCGCTCTGTGCCACAGATTTCAGGTACGAGTTCTGATGGTGTTTGTAGTGGTTCGGAATTCACTTTAAGCCGTAGGTCCCGGTGTCAAATGACTGTAGAGCGTCACAGAGCCCAATCAGACTTCTTCTCACCCACATCGTTCCCAAACTGTAAAGGGGAAACTGATGTGTTGTGGGGTAGTAGTAGTAGTAGTAGTAGTAGTAAAACTTCTACATAACAACAATTACATACGTTTCAACAACTATATACCGCATACTGCATACGTTTCAACAACTACATACTTTCTGTAAGTTCTTTGCCTAAAATAAATTATATTAAAGTAATGCCAGTTCTGGTTTAAATAAATAGTTTTTAGAGAATTTAAATAAAAAATATCTTTGGTTTGGTTTAACTTCTTTTGTATTTTTCTGGAAAAAAGTTCTATTTAATTAAAAATGGGCCTGAATGGACGGGTGTCTAGCGCTTTGCCGCTCTGTCTCGGCGGTGCCATAGATTTTTGTAGTGGTTCGGAATCCACTATAAGCCGTAGGTGCCTGTCTAATATGACAGTAAGCGCGTCGTGGGAAGACTCGATGGCGTTTTTGATGTCCAGGCTCTTGCCTCGTGAGTTGAACTACTTGATGGAAGTTTTTCTGGGTTTTTTCCCATACGATGTGTGAATGCTATTGTTTCTCCTAAAAGTCATCCCAGAAGACAATGTCCTCCTTCTTCAGCTTCACGGAGCCAAGTCAGACTTCTACCTACGGGTGCTCCATCACAACAGAAGCTGTCCCCTTTCCCTCCATCCATAAGTAGATTACTCATTAGGTAATAAGGATTGAACACTAAGGATTAGTGACAACAACAACACATTTAATTAAAAAATAAATACTCACTACTTAAGTTTCAGAATTTAAGTTTACGTCAAAATCCAATCAAAAGTATTTTGAAAGAATGTATATATTTAAAAAAAAAAAAAACTAAGGTGTTTATTGAAATATTTTTAAAACGATAAGAAAAATGTTAAGTTCAACAAGATATGTTATATACTTGATCATTAATAGAAAAATTCTGGGCAACTGTTCTTCTTCAACAATGTTGTAAAACATAGAAAAAAAATCCAAAGTATTATAAATTAATTTTTTTACTTGTATAACTAGTCTCAAATTTTTTTGTTTCATATTACGTGGGTAGATTAATCATCTTAAACATAAGTAAGCACAAAATGCTCTTTTTGAAGTTGGCTTATCTTAAAGCTATTATGGCATACTGAATTCCAGGGAAAAAAGAATTCTCTTCTTACTCAAGCATTAAAATTTAAAAAAAATCATAGTGCTTATAAAATATTTAAGCTTTTTAAAAACTTTAATATCCAGTGGAAAAATAAAGCTTCATAAAAGTACTACGAGAAAATTAAAAAAAATAAGTTCTTAATAATTGCTTAATTAACCTAACTAGTTAGCAAATGCCATAAAAAATAAAAAATAAATAAAACCTTTTTTTCCCTTCTAAAATGACGATAAAATGCTCCATCTCATTAAAATTAACTTTAGAGCATCAAAATAAAAATTTATATTTGTTCGAAGCTTATACATTTTGAGCATGTGGGAAAAAAAAAAAAAAAAAAACCGTGAGTAGAATAATTTATATTTGCAGGGGCAATGAATAATTTTAGATAAATAATAACTTAGGAATGTTAGGCCAGAGTAATCAACTCAGTTCTACAAAAGTATATCATGAATTTAATACTTACATATATAACTAAGTAAAACAATGAATTTAAGTGAATAAAATATAATTATTGTTACTTTAATATACTTTACTAACTGTAAGAAATGCTAAATATAATAAGACTATTAAGTTATTAATAATAAATGTTCTGGTTACTAAGTACGAAAATAATTGAAATTAATTTTTACAAACTCTTATTATGCACTTCTTCTTTTTTACTTCATGATAAATGTTCTGTTGGTGGCATGGATGTTTATTAATGGTTCAGAATCCACGTTAAACTCTAGGTCCCGGTCTAATTAGCCCAAAGTGAGCAAAAAATGACCGTAGAGAGGCAAACCAAACCAAATCATGATTGTTGTTGTTTCTTATCCCACTTGGCTGGCCAAGCCCACGAGCCCATACGTACTCATGATTGAAGGGGAAGGAAGCAGCTTCTGTTGTGATGGAGCACCCGTAGGTAGAAGTCTGACTTTGGCTCCGTGACGCTCTTACAGTCATAGGAGACCGGGACCTACGGCTTAAAGTGGATTCCGAACCACTACAAACATCCATGGTACCGCCGGGACTCGAACCCGAAACCTGTGGCAACGAGCGCCAGAGCGCTAGACACTCGGCCATCAGGTCCCAAATTTGTGAATGCCAACGGCACGCGGTGTTCCCAGGTGGTCACCCACCCAAGTACTGACCGCGCCCAATGATGCTTGACTTCGGTGATCTAACGAGAATCGGTATATATCGGTATCGGTATGGTATGGCCGTTGGCTAATCATGATAAATGTACAAAGAAATGACAGCATATAGAAAAAATAATTAAATTATTATTATTAATATAAATTATGAAATAAGTAATTTTTGTATCATCGATTTAATAGGATGATATATATTTTAATAATTTTACGCTTTAAAATTAGCAAATAATTTTTTTCAAATTTGAAACACCAAGTACTGGTGAGTGTTACAAAGTTTTTTTAAGCAAATAATCAGTATAGCTATTATTATTATTATTATTATTATTATTATATTAAAAAATCGCCCAAAACTTCTTGAACCGAATTCATTATTAAACATAATATATATCATACTATACTTCATTTATGGGGCCTGAATGGCAGAGTGGCTAGCGCTCTGGCGTTGGTACCACAGGTTTCGGGTTCGAGTCCCGGCGGTGTCATGGTTGTTTGTAGTGGTTCGGAATCCACTTTAATAAGTAGGTCCCGGTCTAATAGGATCGTTGCGGGAGCATTGTTACTCCGCGTCCGTAGCTTATCTTCAAGTTGCACGCGCCCCCTGGGTAATGCAAAGTGAGTACGTCTGTGCAGCACTTGCCTTAAGGCATCCAAGACGTCTGTGTTTGCTATCTGCATTAGAAAGAAAAAAAAAATACTTCATTTATAATTCAAATGACCGTAGAAAAATAAAACATAAAATAATTCAAATTGAAAAGGTATATTCGTGTAAGAAGGCTGTTATATTTTTCGATGCATAGAATAAATGGTGATCTACATTTTTAAAATTGCTTTTCCCATATTAAATCTGAGAAAAATAAGATATCACATTAATGATATTTTTTTTTTCATTGTTACAAACATTCGAGTTGTAAACCGTATCCAGAAATTTATAATTAAATACAACAAATACAAAAAACAAAGACATATAGAAATATAAAATGGTTTCTGAATATCATTCTAACACCTTTTCAAGATCATAAGGTAATAAAATTAACATTAGGAAAATTTATTATTGCATGTTTCCTGTATTATTATACACGCTACAATAAATAAAGATTTTTTTATATGACACTTATGAAGCACACTCATCAACTCAAGCAATTTACATGCGAATACCAAATGTCATATTATATTTAGATCATATTTTTTTGTTATATTATTCATAATAATATGATAAAAAAAGCATATTATTCCTATTTATATATATAGAAAGAAATAGACAAAAAGTATTAAAATAGTAATTGAAGCATGCCTAAAGAAATTTACTGAAGCTTTATGATGGGAAAATCCAAATGAGGTCCATACATATATGAATATAATATATATTTGTGTATGTATGGACCTGGTGGCTGAGTGACTAGCACTCTGGCTAGAGGTTTCTGGTTCGAGTTTCGACGGTGTTATGGATGTTTGATTTTACATCAAAGTGTTCAGAATCTCCTTTAAACCGTAGGTCCCGGTCTAACATCTATGTAAAGCGTTCGTCTGACAACCCTATTTCGTAAAAAAGAAAACACGTCCCGTCTCGAAATCTGACAGTAGGCAGACGACCTTGACCCAACAAGGGGCTGTTGTACCAATGTAGAAGATATATATATATATATATATATATATTACAAGAAACCACATTTACATTCTCATTTAATTGATTTTGGATAAATAAAGTTTTTTACCTGGTTTTTATATTAAAAAAAAACAACTTAATTTTAAAATTTCACGAGAGAGAAATTTATATTCGTAATTCTTATATATTTAAACGAATTACGCTTAATTAATGCAATAAATAGTGATAAAATATGTATATTTGCATAAAAATTATTATAATTAATTGAAAAATACAAAAGCTATCTATTAACAAAAACGAATCACTAATTATCGAAGTTCTAAACTAAAACCAAAGTTCAAATCCTTCAATTCCATCTCCTCTAAATATATTGACTTACAATTGCAAATATTTAATCTAGAGTGAACCTGAGGCAAAATTCGGTCCTATGTCAAACTTCTTTAAAGACATTTCATTTTGTCCAAAAATAAATACTTCTTTTTTTTTTTTTTGAGTTTGGTATTTCATCTAAATTACTCTCTTTCATTCAGGGCAAGAAGTGAAATATTCAGGTCAAACTCACTTGGACCGGTCTCGTTCGACCTTGCTTACTAAATAAAGAAAAAAAAATTACATTTTCTCTCATAATTTTAGCCAAACTTGAAAACATGTAGTTTTTGTATAGTTTTCATTTCGTTGCATTTGCTGTTCGTAACCTTTCGTGGACAAATTATTTAAGTGAAGAAAAATTCTGTAATATTTTGTTATATTAAGTTTTACTTATTTTATATTGATAAAATTTTGTCAGGCAGAAATTCAATTATATATTACTGTGTCCAAAAAGTAAGGCCAGTTTACAATTTAAATTTCCCGGATATGGTATTTAATTATTTTTCTTTTTTAGGTTGTTGGCACTGTCTTTGATATCTGTTTGAAATTTGACGTCAAAATATTCATTAGTCCTTGAGTTACGCTTGGTTATGTGAGATGCTAAAACTGATTAAAGCGATTTTTGAAATGTCTCTTCAATTCACTCGAAATGGTGTCCTCGGAGTGGTCTTTTGAATTTAGGGAATAGCTAGAAGTAGCACGATGTTAAATCAGGTGAATACGGTGGTTATGGAATGATATTGGTTTCATTTTTGGCGGAAAAGTCACGAAGAATCAATGCAGTGCGAGGTGGTGCATTCAGTGTTTTCTGTACCAATCAAGATTTGACGCCTTTGAGGCCCGAAATTTCTTTTAAAATGGAATTTTGAAATTCCAATGTCATTAGCAAGGTCTCTAATTGTAAATCTACGGTTTTCAAGCATCAAATCTTTAATTTTTTGGATGTGAACTTCGTCGGTTGAGGTTGGTGGTCGACCAAAGGGCTCTTCGTCTTCAACGCGTTCTCTACCTTCTTTGAACTGTTTTTGCTACTTCAAAACATTTCGTTCCGATGTAGGAATGCTCACCGAATGCCTTCTACAACATTCTATATGTTTCTGCAAACAAAATTTAACGCAAGTTCTTTGCTCAATTAGACAGTTCAAAAATCGCCAGAATCAGTTTTAGCTTCTCACAAATCCAAGCGTAACTCAAACACTAATGAATATTTTGACGTCAAGTTTCACACAGATGTCAAGGACAGTGCCAACAACATAAAAAAGAAAAAAAGCTGAAATACCCTACGCCCGGGAAATTTTAATCGAAAATTGGTCTTACTTCTTGGACACAGTAGTATATATGCAATATCAATTACTTGTATTTTATCAAAAATGTAATGAGTTCATTGTGCAATATTTTAACCATGACATTTTGAAAAATATTCCAAGATGACATGGTGATAATAATCATAATAATATATAATGTTTTCGGTAATAACCACAATAATACATAATGTTTAGAAATAAACCCAGTAATAATACTTAATAGGATAATAATCACAATAATGCAATTTGTCCTCAACGGTTGAGTAAACAGCTCGTGTGTTTTAAGGATCTTCTTTAAAAAAATTTATATGCGTTAGCTAATCAAAAATTATGTATCTAGGAGTAGGATAGTGGTTATAAATTTCGCTAAATTCAAATGTTCTGGGAAATGCACAAAGAATGTTGTCCTAAATTATTATAGCAAAATGTGGCTGCTGTTTAGCAAGTCCATCCTTGTAGTTCGAAATGTTCTCCCGTTTTAATGGTTAACAGTCTCAGGTCAATTTGTCATCACTCGAAAAACAGCAAATTAGCAACAAATGTATTCCTTATCCAATATCTTTATGTAAATTAAAATGTTATGTTAATATAACTGCCTATTTTCTTGTGAAAAATATATTTAATTTGCTATTATTTTCAGGCATATATTCTAACATCTAAATTCTTAAGAGAAGTTGCAAAAGAGCCTGTTAATTTTCCTTGACTTTATTGTTAATATATTTATTGTGAATTAAATTAGACTGCATATTTGTTTATAATTAATAAAACTATCTTTAATTTATCTTGTTTTAATTTTTTTTTTAATTTCAAAATTTATATAAAACTCATTGACATATATGTAAGAAATAGCCTGATGCCCGAGAGACCTGATGCCTGGTGCTCGGTATCACAAAGTTCCAGTCTTACATGGATGTTTATACTGGTTTGGAATCCACTTTAAACTTTAGGTACCTGTCTACTATGACCGTAACATGTTAGGCGTACGACTGGCAACCCTACCTCGTAAATGGAAAACATCTCATATTTCTGAATCTACCAGTGGGCAGATGGCCTTGGCCTATCATGGGCTGTTACGCCATCGAAGAATATATGTAAGATATATCAGTATTTCGTCAGAATATAATAATGACTTATTGTGGTTTAAACTAAATGGAATGTATTGCATTTTACAAAGAAACGTCCGTTTATTGTAATTTTAAAAAAAAATTTAATAATTAAAATTTAAATATTAACAAATTATTATTATAATTAATTTAAATGTTAACACATTGTTCTTATTATGCATTATTTTTATATCTGTGTAAATCCGTAATTATAGCATTATTTAAAAGAAAATGATTTTTTTTCTAGTACTTTCTAACTGAGATAAAGAAAACATTTACTTTCTGTCCAGTGTTTTCTATCCAAATTAAATTAAAGACTTCTAACAAAACACCAAACCACTTTCATGCAAATTATCCCAGATATTCCATTGGAAAAAAAATATCCACACTAAATCTCGAACAAAACAAGTACGTGTTACCGATAATGAGACCAACGAAGCAGATCACAGTGGTTGACAAACCGTTAACTGGATCGAGAACGAACAGAAGAAAAAAAAAAGAAAAGAACACAACAAAAAAAAATGAGAACCACTGCTCGTTTTACTTCTCCTACTTAAAAAGTATTTAAAAAAGATGAAAAATAAAAATAAAGTAGAATTGGAAATTAGGGTGAAATACGTGAAACGAAAATGTTTAATTTCCTTTTATTTATTTTTTTTTTTTGTCGAAAACTTGAAGGTGAAAGGCATT